ACTATGACATTTATAAATGTATGAATCATATGGTGAAAAACTGACTTTGAAACATAAATCTATTCTTTTTTTCTTATAAAAGGCTAAATAAAACAAAAATATTAGTGGTAATTTTTGACTGTGTAACTTTACAAATGGCACCCCATAACTGTGTATCAATTTTGACATGGGTGTTAGACACCTGCTTTGAAATAACTGCCTTACATTTTCATATAAACAAAGCATTTCTTATCCAATTTCATAATAAACAGTAAGGCAAAGTAGTGATACTGTTATTAATACAACACAGTCATGCACACACACAAAAAAAAGCAGATTTCTTTTCATCCCCAAATTATTTGCATGAACATTAGGACACCGACCTCATCGGGTAAGGTGATGACTGGATTCTGTCTGGTGACACTGGTAACCCTACTGTGAAAGTATTCGCTGCACGAGGCCAGGACAGAGCAATGAGCCCGGAAGCTCCTGTCTTCCACCATCACTGTCACATCACACAAGATGTCCTGCAGCCTCTGGTCATTCAGACACTGGAGAACATGGGTGCTGTGCACCGCAGACTGAAAGGTGAACACTGACATGCGAGGAGCTTGGAGCATCATGGTTCTTGTAAGCTCATCCTGGGGAAACAAAAAGGTTGTATTGAAAGCAAATGTGTTATTTATTTTTTTTAGTTAACTGACCAGCAATTAATGTTGCACTGTTTTTGTTTTGGGACTGGAAAGTTATTGAACTTGCCTTACTGCAAAAAATGCTAGAAAACTTGTCATTTGCATTTTCACTGTAGCTTCACTTAAATTAAAAATAATATAGCTTAATTTTATTATTGGTCATCCAAAACAAAGCATATGAGAAGCATTAATGCAAGTTTATGATGCACTTCTTTCCAATAAGATACTATCTGGATTAAAAAAAAGACACGTTATTATTAAAAATATTGTTTTAGTACAACTTTACACAATAGTGCACCAGCAGTCTGGGATATAAAGACATTTTATAACATATAACTCCAACTACTGAAGTCGTTAAATGATGGGTTTACGATTTACATCAGCATAATAACAAGACTTAAGTGCATACACGTGTCACGAACGTATAATTGCAATGAATTTACATGCTAAAATGGTTCGACACTCAGAGAATTATTATTTCATTTTAAAACAAACTATTATCCGGACTGTTGTATGCTTTAACTGTACATTTGCTCTCTTTCGACCAGAGCAAAGCCTTACAAAGCAGCTGCCTGACAAATAAACAGCACACAGGACGTTTCAACTTCGGCATCAAAAAATGCTGACTCATGCTTAGCCAAGTTACTCAACTGGGCCTGGTAGAGAAACGCGACGAAAATGTTGAGAAACGTATTGCTAGTAATCATAAACGACGTGTCCTTAGGATATTAAAGTGACATAAATATTACATAATCAGTGGAATTTACCTAGGCCAGACCGTTAGCTATTGTTTCGAAGAAATACGATCATGTCCAAAAAAAAAAAGGGGGAAGAAAAAAATAATTCAAACACCGGCACTAATGTACATTTAAAAATGTCTATTCAAAGAACAGATGTTCACTAACCTGCCATATTAGCAGACTGACATCGACATTAGAAAAATTTGGGTCGAAATTGTGGCTGGCCAAGGCAGGACTTTCCTCTTCTCGTCATGTGACCACCGTACCAGGAAAACCCAGCAGCACCTACTGCGCATGCTCACTGTGTCCGACAGACTCCATTCAGGAAGTAGGATTTTTAATCACTATTTATGATATTCATTTAAAAATAAACACACATTTTCATATACTGATACATTTTACAGATGTTTATTCCCAAATGTTTATTTAACTCCCAACCCCTTGTTGATTTAATAACTTAAAGTAACTGCTTACAATTGTCTATGATGGAGATACTGTATTAATCAAAACATTGCGTAATAAACCTATAAATGACAAAATTATTAAATGTCTGTCTGTAAATTCTTTACAGTTATACTGAAGTCCTGATTGACATTGCTTGTGCTCTTAAGCTGAAGCAGCATGATGGTTAATCATTTTTTTTCCTGAGTTTATTGGCACAAATACAGTTAGATGATTCTTTCGTAGAAGAGGAGGTAGGCTTGGCTGCTCAGGACTTTACTTTCGCTCACAGGTTGAACACTTGTGTCACTGATATGGAACCAGGACCCTCTGAGAGGCTCTGCATCTCCTGCGGGAAAAGTAAGAGTTGATGGCGATGACAAAAAATGTTTTGTTATTAAGTTTTTCCCTATTAATTAAGCACACCTACCTTCTTTAGCAAGTCCATTAGATGAGGGTTTAGAATGCTCAGGACGAACTTTTACATAGGCTGTGTAATGACCAGATCTCATGGTTCCACTGTGCTCGACGATGCCATATAAACTGTACGAAATCTGAGTGTCTCCCTCTGAAATATTCTGAGGAAAAGGAAATGCATAAATTATTTAACAAAAACTTGTTAGTTTTAATAAGACTGAGATCTTAGAAAATGTTCCTTATACTGACCTTGCATTTAGCTGCACAATACGGAGCGAGGTCCAGAACCAGCGGAAAGTGAACGTGTCTGTTTACTTTACAAATACTGTAACCATTCTGGAGGAAAATTACAAAAAAAAAAAAAAAAAAAACAACAACATTGTAGCAGTTTCATCTATAAGATCTACTATTTAAAAAAAATAAGAACATTGAAACAATTTGTTTTACCTGCTGAAATCTTTTCAAATGAAGGGTAAGGACAGCCGGAGGAGAAGAAATTAGCATTTGCTTCAAGGCATCAGTGTAGACATTCTTCTTGGAGCCTAGTCACACCACAAATACAGACAATTTACTACCCTGATTCTAACATGGAAAACCTTTCCATTCGAAAACATTATTGGATGTTTTTGTAACGAACAGTAATTCTTTGTACCTTGAACTTTAATTTTTCCCAGCTGCTGTTTAGTGCAGGTGACACACAGCAAACTATTATTCTGTGTAAGAGTTTCCACTTCTGTGAACTGAAAAAGACACGACTGGACCGAACAGTCCTGTTTCTCCGGGACTGTCCTGGCAGCCAGCGTGTTGAAGGCCAGCTCCGGGTCTTGGTTTGTTACTGTATATTCTTTGGCCTCCAGCATTTCATTGTCACTGTCCATGTCTTGATCCAAACTGTCCGAGTCTTTTATAAAAGCATCGTTCAAGGCAACTTTTTCCATTCTATTGACCAGTGCTGTGTCGTCCTCTTCTTCCAGTTCCATGTCGGACATTTTATCACAGTGGGTGCTGTCCTGTGAGTGCTGCTCCTCTGACAGGGCTGTAAAACGGTTGCTGACTGATGATGTAGCTAATGAGTCGCAGTCTGTCGCTGAATCCTCGCTGTTCTCTTTTTCTTGCTTGGATATTTGGTCCTGCTCAGAAGCGCTGACTAGTACAGGATTTTGGTCACTCGATGAGGTTTCTTTGTGCAGCCTACTATCAGTGGCTTCTTTGTCCTTTTCATCTTCAGTGCCATCTGTTTCTTCGTTCACTGCACGGCTTGGAGATGTCAGAATGTCCAAAGTGACTCTACTTTCCAGCTTCTGCTGCCTTTTCTGTTGCTATGAGTCAAACCAATGAAAAGATATTGACCATTTAGTTGATTCTTCACCGTTAACACAAATTTCTTTCAAATTTGTTTAAATAAATACCTTTGCTTGTTTCTTTTGCTGCCTTTTTGCCTTTTTCTGCTGGTACTTGCTGCTGTCACCAGTGGGCATTTCATCATTTCCGCTGGTTAAGTCAGGGCTGTTTCTGCCATCCTGGCTCGACACACTCTTCTTCTGAAGTCCTTTCTTTTGGGTTTTCTTTCTGTATGCCTGCAAGAGGAGTCGCAAGAAAACAGCGACATGTCAACAAACACTAAATTTTACAAAATGATCTTAGCAAATTTGACAAAAGAATAAATAACGTCTCCTTCACCTCATCAGAAACCGGTAGGGAAAGATCCAGAAACATCTCTTTGACTACAGACACCTGGAAGAATGAGGTAATGATGACACTTAGTGATGTCAACAGAACAAGTTCTCCTAAACGTTTTGAGATACAGAGCATACCGTTTTGCACTGCTGACACATCACAGTGCTGGTCATCTCCCCACCAAAAACTTGGTCAACAAAGTTCAGTGTCAATCCACTTTTTTCATACTCTGAAGACAGAAGTTCACCATCAGATGCACATCATCTCTAAGAAACTAATCACTGGTGTATCAAAAGCTGTACCGTATAATACAAAATGTCTGTCACACGGCAGAGCTCAGGATGTTGAACTACATACCTTTTACTCGTGCTTTCAAGTGATCCTCATCTGTGACTTTATTAGATCGTTTCAGTGCCTCCATTATCCCGGTGTTAACTCTCTGTACAGCCAAACACATTTTAAATATGAAATAATTACAATGACCATTGATGAGTTTTAATTAGAACGCAAAGTAGATGTGAGATTTATGTTAAAAGACTTTAAATTGACCACCATTTCAAGCAGAATTTCTTAGCACCTCAAATAAAAAAGGGAAAAGGATATTTAATTTGTGCAATCAATATGTGACAAAATTTTGATTATAAAAGATGAGTGTCAAAACTTTCTTATTAAAATTCACACCAAATGGCCAACTTTCAGTGTGCATATTGGCCTGGCCCTTGCCTTCCTACGCAGCTCCGCTCAATTCTAGTTTCCCTTCTCTGCTCCGTCTGGGATTTCTCCGGTAGAATTTCAACTGAACCAATCAGCGAACAGGAGGAGGAGTTGTGAACGACAACATTGATTTTCTGCAATGTTTTAGTCTGCCTGTTGTTTAGCAATGGCAGTGGAGGAAGTGAATGAAGCCAGTCTGTGTTGACAAGGTTCCGAATTAAATCAAATTTGTCTCACAAAGCCTGCAGCTCTCATTTACAGACATCTCGTTTGGCTCTGTACTGTCTCTTCCCAGTAGAGGATGGTTGTTTACAGCTAATGTAATTTCCGGTTAGCTTCTTAGCTTAGCCTCCTTAGCTGGCGCACTACATATGTCATGGCCAAACGTTAGCAATTGGGTAAATCAGATCCAATTTTTTTAAACTTCGGAGGCCACACCTCCAGCACACAATCACTTCTCAATAGGGCTGTGTATTGGCAAGAATTTGGCGATGCGATACATATCATGACAGACGGGTCACGATACAATATATCCCGATATATTGCGATACTATAAGCAAGGTGATATATTGTGA